AAAAAAAAGGTAAGAAGTGATTTTGACGAGCAAAAAAAGTGATTTTGACGCGTGAAAAGTGATTTTGACGAGCAAAAAAAATGAAAAAAAGTGATTTTGACGAGCAAAAAAAGTGATTTTGACGAGCGAAAAGTGATTTTGATGAGTAAAAAGTGATTTTGACGAGTGAAAAGTGATTTTGACGAACAAAAAAAGTGATTTTGATGAGCAAAAAAAAATGAAAAAAAGTGATTTTGACGAGCAAAAAACATGAAAAAAAGTGATTTTGACGAGTGAAAAGTGATTTTGACGAGTAAAAAAAGTGATTTTGATGAGTGAAAAGTGATTTTGACGAGTGAAAAGTGATTTTGACGAGCAAAAAAAATGAAAAAAAGTATCAAAAGGGTGCTTCTACTAAATACTGAGCAAAGGGTCTGAATACTTAGGACCATGTGATATTTCAGTTTTTCTTTTTTAATAAATCTGCAAAAATGTCAACAATTCTGTGTTTTTCTGTCAATATGGGGTGCTTTGTGTACATTAATGAGGAAAAAAAATTAACTTAAATGATTTTAGCAAATGGCTGCAATATAACAAAGAGTGAAAAATTTAAGGGGGTCTGAATACTTTCCGTACCCACTGTATATAGCATTTCCAGAAATCACAAGCTTCAAAATTCCATGATATTTAAATGTTGTAAACATCCAAATGTTTTCTTATTAATAGAAATGGTTATTTTGCATTTTCAGTTGGATTGTGTGTAAAGTCAGTGTTTGACGTTAATCAAACGAGTCGCTGTAATTGTTTTGGTTCATCACTCTGAAACAGAAGAGGACACGGGCATTGTTTGTAGTACAATATATAGGGTGTTTTACTGTGGGCGTGTCTGTGTGTGATTGACAGCTGAAGCGCTCACTCACAGCAGTCTGTTGGAGGCGGATGGTGGCGGTGATTCGATGGTCAGCGTCAATCTGCATCACGCTATCTTACCGACGCAAGGTACGACCGCATGCTCTCTCTGATGCTCTGTCACATCACCCACAGCAGTGACATCATCGCGTGTGTTCTGTGTGCTTAGGTGCGGCGGACGCCGTTGTGGTTCTGACTCCGCCCCATGACCTGGTCACCATGACAACGGGCCACGCCTACAGCGATGACATGGTCACTCTGCTCTAACGCTGCTTTTGTAAATAAACTCTTTTAGGAAACGCACACTTCTCGAGTGCATCATTTCATCATCAGAAACACAAACACACACACCTTCCAATGAGATATTTATTGTTATTGCAATCTGAAAATAAACGTCAACAACAAAATTGTTGTCGAGTGAAAAAAGTTATTTTGACGAGCAAAAAGTGATTTTGACGAGTGAAAAAAGTGATTTTGACGAGCGAAAAAAGTGATTTTGATGAGTGAAAAAAAGTGATTTTGATGAGTGAAAAAAATGAAAAAAAGTGATTTTGACAAGCAAAAAAAGTGATTTTGACGAGCAAAAAAAATGAAAAAAAGTGATTTTGAC